GGGGTTGATCAGGGCTATGGGGAGAGAGCGGGGGAGTGGGGTTGATCAGGGCTATGGGGAGAGAGCGGGGGAGTGGGGTTGATCAGGGCTATGGGGAGAGAGCGGGGGAGTGGGGTTGATCAGGGCTATGGGGACAGAGTGGGGGAGTGGGATTGATTTGGAAGCTCTTTTCAAAGAGCCGGCACAGACATAATGGGCCGAATGGCCTCCTTCTGTGCTGTATAATTCCATGATTCTATGAACATTTCCCGCCTCCGCCACTACCTCTCCCCTCAGGCTGCCGAGATCCTCATTCACACTTTCATCACGTCCAGGCTTGACTACGCTAACTCTCTGCTCACCGAACTTCCCAACTCTTCCCTTCACAAGCTACAGATTATTCAGAACTCTGCAACTCCTGTCTCTCCCTCGCTAAACTCCATGACCATCTCACACCCGCCCTCACCCGGCTCCACTGGCTCCCCATCCCCCAGAGGATAGTTTAAAATCCTCGTCCTCACTTTTGAAGCTCTCTCAGGTCGTGCTCCCCTCTACCTCTGAGAGCTATTAACATCCGGAGCCCCTCGGCCTCACCTCCTCCCTTGCCTCCTTCAAGACCTCTTTGAACGCAAGTTCCGTCACCGTCCCATTCCCCTTTCCTTCCACGTCCCTTGACTCCAACCCCCAGCTCAGGTGCAAATCCTTCGCTGTCCAGTGCCTTGGGAAGTGATCCTCAATTTTTTGCTTTTGACCGATTGTGTCTCTCTGTGAGTGAGTGACTGACGGATTATTTCTCTGTCTCTCTCTCTGAAAGTCACTGACTGATGGGGTCTCTCTCTCTCTCTGACTGATGGGGTCTCTCTGTGTCTCTCTCTCTTTCTGACTGACTGATGGGGTCTCGCTCTGTCTTTCTCTCTCTGACAGACTGACGGGGTCTCTCTGTCTCTCTCTCTGTGACTGACTGACAGGGAGTCTCTCTCTCTGTGTCTCTGTCTCTCTCTCTCTCTCTCTCTCTGACTGACTGACGGGGTTTCTGTTTGTAGATTTTTAAATCTTGATTCGGGAAAGTTCTGAGAACTGTTCTAGTTATTTGCACTTTCTCCCCTGACCCAGCGAGAGGAAGCGGATTGGAGGGTTAGTGTCCCGGGTAAAACAGGACGTTGCACTAAAACCTGGTTGTGTACTTTGGACCAAGACCAGGAGAGGCTCTTACAACAGTTGTTATCCCACTTGTGAGGAAAAGTTGAACTTTGCAATCTGTGTGTGTCTATTGTGTGTGTCTGTGTGGTGTGTGTGTGTGTGTCGGGAGTGGGGGATGGTGAGTGGGGTCTCCTTGTACCTGAACTGGCTCCAAGGTGACGGTTTGCCAATGGAATGTCAGAATCAATGTCAGCGCCTTGGGACGTCCTCCTGACGTGAAAGGCGCTTTATAAATGGAATCTTGTTGTTGTTGTTGTCAAGCCAATTCTCCCTGGCGGTGTCTTTAGGCCGGTTCCTGAGCCAGGAGGGTCTGTAATATTCCAGACACTCACTGATGACAGCCCAGCCTGGCTCATCAACAGGACCCGGAAGGGCAGATCAGCCACTGGGGGGGGTGTGGGACTCATCCCACTCAACTCCTGTTAACCCTGCAAGTCAAAGCCCTAAAGGGTAGGGTGGTCCTAGTTGGACAAGCAGAGGAAAAGCTTGCCAGGTAGATGGTTTTAGCTGGTTAGACTCCAGCAGTTACCTCAACACACACCCTGGGGTGCCCAAGCCTTGGATCTTGCCAACCTGCTTTCCGGAATTGAGTAACCGGGAGGTGTCCCTCGAGTGAGAGAGCGCACATTCCATTCCAATACAAATCACGGGAATTTGCAGATTTAAGTGAGATTCCTGGCAGTCTGGTTAAGGATACTCTTAATCACGGTGATGGGTTTCCCATGTGCCAGATACCCGGCAATGACGGGTGGTTGGATGATAGGTTATAAATATTTTGCACATTACCCCTCCCGAAGCCAGCAGTCTCCCCCACCCCTTCTTTCCCCAAGCTACCAGCTTCCTTTGCAGAATGCACTCAATAAGGTGGGGAGGGTGGGGGGAACTTCTCACCAAAGACCACCCCTCTCCTTCTGTTTAAGCGCTTTGAGATGTCTCAACCACATGACAAAATGCTGGATCGAATGCAAGGACTATTATGATGACGTTTATGTTCAGCTGAGAGATTGGCGTCACTCGCAGACACTGGCGCCCAGCTTCACTGTGGCTCCCTTTCTCTCCCCCTCCCTCTGCCCCCCGCCTACCCCCTCCAACTCGCCCTTATGATAAGGGAGCAGCTGTCGCCAGTGCAGGACGACTGAGCCTCTCTCTGCATCTATTTCCACTGAAGCCCAGAATAGCCTGTAGTTGATTCCCACACGGCTCTATTTCCAGCCTCTATGTGTCCTGACTCCAACCTCTGTGTGTGTCCTGACTCAAACCAGACACTGTCACCAACTCACAGTTACAGAGACGAGATACAATAACGGAGACAACTCTCCCCCCACCCCCCACCACTTCTCCCCCCTCCGCCCCACCCGCCCACCATACCAGTTAATCTGATTAGTGTTTCCGCCACATAGAATGTTTGCTTTGGTGCAATGAGTCAGAGGTTGTATTGAGACAAAATATACAGTCAACTTTACGATATATCCTGTGAAGCCCTTTGAGACATCGTGATGACGTGTAAGGCGCTACATCACATGCAAGGATTGTTTGTTAATCAAAGACACGGAGGAGGGAGGTTGGAGGAGATAAATCTTTGGGTTGTTAGCTGACCACCTTCCCTATGGTTGTAGTTCATCTTTTTCTAACGCTTTCAACCTGTGGGATTCCCTGGTGTCTCTACTCAGCCAGAGTTTTGAGGGGTTTTCTCCTGTTTTATGCCAGTTTATGTCCTCTGTCTCCCCCTCTCACCTCCGAGTCAGGAGGCTGTGGGTTCAAGGACTTCGTCAGGACTTTGAGCTCAAGAATCCAGGCTGTTGCTCCAGTGCAGTCCTGGGGGAAGCGTTATATTGTTGGAGTATCATTGTGTGAGATGAGATGTTAAACCCAGGTCCCGTCTGCCTGTGCAGGTGGATGTCAAAGATCCCAGGACGTTATTTGAAAGGAGAAGGGAGTTTCTCTCTCTCTCTTTCTCTCCCGGTGTCCTGACCATCAATCCCCCTCCCCCCCTAAATAAAATTGGTCTCTTACCTCATGGCTGTTTGCTATGCGCAATTGGGCTGCTGCGTTCGTCTACAAATACTCAGTCACTGAGCTTCACAGTCAATCATGTGAAGCACTTTAGGACGTCCTCTCGCTTCGAAATGCGCTCTACTAACTACAAGGATTATTATGTGTTGTTGTAATATATTGCCTCTCGGCAGTTTTTTCCTAAAACACAATAAAACGGGGTCCCGGAAAATAAATAAAATCATAATAATAATAATAACATGAATAATTTTGCATTCCTTGCATTTGATACAGTGCCTTTCCCATCAGGAGGTACTATATCAAAGCAAAGATGATTATTATTATTTTTATTATCATCATCGCCTCACAAGGGAGAGACGCGAGTTTGATTCTCAGGCAGGACGAATTGTCAGGTAAGTTTCCTTACTCCACACGCCTCTGTTTACCAGCAGTAAGTAGGAACCCGGTTGTTAGTCGATCGGTGGATCACTTTTCTTTGGATAATAATCCCATCATAATTTTTTTTAAAAAATTTGTTCACTCAATCCCCGGCTGTTTGTGGGACGCTGCTGTACGCAATTGGCAGCCGTGTTTCGCCCACAAAACATGCAGTCAATTACTCTACAGCGTATCCCGTGAAGCGCTTTAAGACGTCTCGAGGACATGATGAGGGCTGTATCACATGCAAGGATTATTATTATAGCTCTGGTTACAACTTTACTCGTGTAGAATGGGGGAGGAGGTGATGCCCCCCGGTGCCCCTGGCGAGGGAGCGGGCGACTCAAATGTACCAGCTCGTGTTCGCCCGCTGGAATGTACGTCTCGGGGGAGGTTTGGGGGGAAGGGAGGGGAGAAGAGACTTCTAACTTGTCCTGGCTGACAATCCCCCAAATAGAATTGGTGGTTCACTCCACGGCTGTGTGTGGGACGCTCTGGCACAATTGGCTGCCGCGTTTGGCCCAGAAAAGACACAGTCAATTCACTTTACAGTCTATTCTGTGAAGCGCTTTGAGGCGTCTCTGGCAGAATATCCTGAGGCGTGAGGGGCGCTATATAACCGCCAGCTGTTCTTGTTGTCTCAACTGCGTGATAACAACAACAACAACAAATTACACTTATTCACGTCGGGAGAACAGTCAGGGTTTTGGACCCGAGTTCGAGGTTGAGATCAGGAGGGGTGGACGGCAGGGATGAGCTGCTGTATCAAATGGAAGGATTATTAGTGTTATTATTCTGTCAAATAACTTTGTGGATGTGTTCCTCAGAGCCAGGCTCTGCTGCTCTCTCCGTCTGAGCAGCCTCCAGGAGGGCAAATCGCCCACATCTTGTGTAAGACATTCTCAACATTCCACCCACCTGAAGCTGTAATTTCAGACGTGGGCAGGTTTAGACCTGCTTCCCAGCCCCGGCGAAACACGGCTCAGCTCACAACACACCACTCTACACTCTCCCTCTCTTCCCCTCTCTCTCTCTCTGGCTCTCGCTGGGAGTTTTTCCCTTGAATTTAGAGGTTCCACTCTCTATCCATGGCTCGAGTCTTACCCACTGTGGGACATGGAGCAGGTCTGAGCCAGTGGAGCAGAAGGAGAGGGCGGGGGGAGACATGGGGGCGGAGGGGAGGGAGAGAAAGGGAAGAGGGAGAGAAAGGGGGGAGAGGGGAAGGAGAGGGGGAAGGAGAGTGAGAGAGCCGGCCACAAGGAAGGAGGGGTGGGAAGGAAGGGGGAGGCAGAGAAGGAGAGTGAGAGAGCGGGCCACAAGGGAGAGCGGGGGAGGAAGAGCAGACCCCTGGCCAATGTTTGACCCACTTCTTGCCCTCGGCTGTGTTTCAGGGGCGATGGACGTCTTCAACACCAAACACCTGGCCATGCAGGCACAGAAGAAGCTCCTGGGCAAAATGGCCTCCAAGAGCGTGGCCAGCATATTCATCGACGACACGAGCAGCGAGGTGCTGGACGAGCTGTACCGGGTGTCCAAGGAATTCTCCCACAGCAAGAAAGAAGCCCAGAAGGTCATCAAGGACCTGATCAAGGTAGTCATCAAGCTGGGCGTGCTTTACCGCAATCGGCAGTTCAGCCCCGAGGAGCTTGCCGTGGTGCACCGATTCCGCACCAAGGTCCACCAGCTGGCCATGACGGCGGTCAGCTTCCACCAGATCGACTTCACCTTCGACCGGAGAGTCCTGGCTGGGATCCTGGGCGAGTGCCGAGACCTCCTGCACCAGGCCATCGGCCGACACCTGACCGCCAAGTCCCATGGGCGAGTCAACCACGTCTTCAACCACTTTGCGGACTGCGAACTGCTGGCCGCCCTCTACAGCCGCGCTGAGCCCTACCGCACGCACCTCCACAGGCTCAGCGACGGGGTTAACAAGATGCTGGAGGAGGGGAGTATCTGACCTGGACTGGAGAGGGAGGGAGTGAGGGAGTGAGGGAAGAGGTTAGTAGAGGAGGGGAGAGGGTGAGTGCAGTCTACACTGACCCCCTCCCCTCCTCTCTTCTCCTCCGCCCATACCCACTCCAGCCCATCCCTCCACACACACATACTTTAAGATTGGATCTTTTGAAACTCCCTCCACCCACCCCACCACCCCCAACACATGCACACACAAGCCCAGCCTCAGGGCAAAGTAACCCTGGGAACTGTCCACCAGTGTCTCTCAGCTGGACTTCAGGGTAAGCCGAGCTTCCAACCTGGATTTAGCTGCACTGATGGATAGATGGTGGACGATAAATGTGTGTGATACAGTTGGGATTGAGGGAGTGGGAGGGTCGAGTTGGTCCTAACCTCTTCCATCGGAGGCTGGTCGATCAAGGTCCATCAAACTCGTGGGTCCCTACTTCAACCTCGTTCATCAGTGACGTGGAGATGATTCTATGGGACTGGTATTGAGCAAAGTGTCATGAGCAGCCTCTCCCCAACTTCACCCCAGAACTGTATCCCTCCCCCTCTAACCATAATCTTAGTGGAGTCTGGAGCTCAGTGGTTAGAGCCCTCGCCTCACAAGCGAGAGGACCTGAGTTCGATTCCCGGGCAGGGGGAAACGTTGAGCAAGTTTCTTTATTCCACACGCCTCTGTTTACCTGGCAGTGAGTAGCAACCTGATTGTTAGTCAATTGGCGGATTGCTTTTCTGGGGGTATTAACTCTGCAACTCAACCTCCAATCAATCCACATTACAGTAAAACCCTGGGATATTCCAGTGCAGAGCTGGGGGAGGTGATGTCCTTTGGCTGAGACACTAAACCAATGTCCCGTCTGCCTGTTGAGGTGGACGTTAAAGATCCTGTGGAGCTACTCAAGGAGCCAAGGGAGCTTCTCTCTTCTGGTGTCCTGGCTGGCAATCCCCCAGACACAATCGGCCATTCACTTTATACCAGTCTGCGGGACATTGCTGGATGCAAAATGGCTGCCGCGGTTACTACACTTTACGGTATATCCTTTGAGAGACTCTCCACCTGACGTGAAAGTCGCTGCGTCAAATACAAGGATTATAATTATTATCTCTATATTCCTGAGATGGAGATGAAGTTTGAAAAGATCCACCTGGGAGATTGAACTATTTGTCCCATTTTCACCACTTGAGGAGAACAGTCACTAAACAATGGTGGTGGCTGGAACGAGAGAGGTCTTGAGAACAGCTCCCCACTCTCCCACACACTGGACTTACTTGTCAGTGTCGAAGAAAGTGATCATCACTTTACCCAGCATCTCCATCACAAGGTCTGACTGAGACTGAGTGAGCGGCGAAGGAGAGAGACCGGAGCTATAAAATCCAGATTCAATCAATTACCCCGTCACAAGGTGTGTGAGCCCAGTCAAACACCGTGGCCTTCTCCCTTGCAAACCAGGCCTCTGAATTCCACCCGGTCTTAGCCTATAGGGCCTTTGTTGTCTCTAAAAATCGAAGACTGTTCACTCAACGGAAAACTCTTGATCTGGTCTGGATTTGGAAAGAAACTTTTAAGAAGAGTTCAAGCACTGCGAGTAAATGAGGCGAGACTTGGCTTGTGGTTTCTAGAAACGTAGCTTAATTTTATTTTTGAGTTGGGGGCGCGGGGGGGCATTTTAACCTTCCAATAACTTTACTGTAAAGATATCTTGACTGAGATGAAACAGCTGCTTCCTCTCTTGTGGGATTGTGTGTGTGTGATGGATGGATGTTGGCCACGAGCAGTTAATAAGAGAGGAGATTTGGCCTCTGTGACTAAGCAATCAGTGTATATTTCAATTCTGTATATCTGTTGTCTTCCAAATGGTCGGAAGGTTTTATTTCTGTCTTTTGTAAATCGTCGCAGAATATTTGATCTGCGCTGTGACTGTGGTGTAAAACACGGAGCGTGAACTCGAAGGGTTGGCGGACAGTGTTACCCGCTTAACACGACCTGTCAGAATGGCCATCGATTATCACCCCCTCACTGTTGTCTGGTGTCCCCGTTCCTCTTGCGTGCTCCAAAATTTGCAAAACTCCACCATGTTTAATCCGAATTAAGTGGGGAGCGGAAGTGGGAAGAATTCCATTGGCACAGAATTCCAAGTAGTCTTAGCCTGTGAGGCAGAGCGGGCCGGGCTTCCTTTGGCCTCAGCGCCCCCGAGAGGGGAATGGGCAGTACTGTTCACTAACCATAGACACCCAACTTTTTTTTGGGTGGGGTGGTCAGCTGAGTGTCCGACACACCTGGTGTCTAACCAGTTGACATCCTTGAATCCAGTGAAGCTGTGAAAGCAGTTGCAAGAGATACCATCTGTATCTCCCGCACCGTGAGTGGCTTTGAGATGACTTTATGTTTTATGTCTCTCTTGTATTGCTGTGTATTGCACTTGCGTTTTCCAAAAACTTCTAATCTCAATTACTGGACCTCATTTTGCACCCCTCCACTCCCCTCCCTTTCTCTCCCCCACCCCGCATCCCCCCCCACTCCCTCTCTTCTCCCCGTCACTCCCCCTGAAATAATTCTGTATTTAAATAAAGGGAAATTTCTTTTACGTAACCAACTGTTTTTAACTCCGCACGTGCGAGCGGAGAGAGTCTTCAACACTGAGCTCCGGCCTCTCGACAATAACAACAGCTTCCACTTACACGGGGCAGTGTCTCGGAGCGCTTAACATTGGCGGAGTTTGACACCCAGCCAGGGGAGGTGGGAGTGGGGGGCAGAGAGGGGAAAAGGTGACTGTACACAAAGTCAATGTGAAGTGACAATTTGAAATGAATAATTAGAACAGCATTATGGGTTATGAAATGGCGGAAATTCGACCCCACAATCTACATTGCAGCTACAATGTGACTCAGACGCTGGAGATGCATTTAAGACACGTTAGGGAGGGAATGAGGAGGGGAGGCTCAGGTGGAATATAAACCCCCGCACAGGCTGGTTGGGTTGAGTAGCCTGTTTCTGTGTTGTATGCTCTTTGTAAATCTATGTATCGACCCTGAGCTGTCCTTTCTTCCTCATATCCGCGCCACAACTGGCACCGCCTTCCACCACCTCCGGAATATCGCCAGACTACGGCACTACCTCACCCCTCACGCTGCTGAAACTCTTATCACCTCAAGGCTGGACTATGGGAACTCTCTCCTCGTCGGCCTTCCCGGCCCTCCCTCCACACTGCAGGTCATTCAGAACTCTGCAGCTCGTGTACTGACCCGCACCAGGCTTCGGGACCACATCATTCCCATCCTCGCCCTCGCTCGTCTCCACTGGCTCCCCATCCCCCAGAGGATCGAATTCAAGATCCTCATCCTCACCTACAAGGCCATTCACGGCCTCGCTCCCTCCAACCTCTCCGACCTACTATCCCCCCATGTACCTGCCTGTACCCTCCGTTCCTCTGGCTCCGGTCTGCTCCACATCCCCGCCCCAACCGCCCTACCATCGGTGGCCGGGCCTTCAGCCCCGAGGCTCTGGAACCCCATCTCCCAGTGCCTTCGCCGCTTCCTTCCTTTCCTCCTTCAAGGCCGGTCTCAAGACCTTTCTCTTCAACCGTGCCTTCACCTCCCCTCTCGACTCTCTACCCCCTCCTCCTCGCTCCCTCCCTTCCCTCCCCTCACCCTGACCATTTCCCCTCTGCTTGGGTCCCGACCAAACTGTCCAGTGCCTTGGGACGTCCTCCCGACGTGAAAGGCGCTCTATAAATAAAATCTTCTTGTTGTTGTATGTAATCTTGACACAAGGTTTCTTAATTTTTATATAGATAATATATTTTTGAAAAGCAGAAAAGTGTAAAAAAGACAATGATCCCACAATGTGGCTGCGGTCACTTCACCCCGGCTCAGCGACAGGCTCCACCAGTGTTAAGTGCTCCTGGAAGTTACCCTATGCTGTATAAATGCAAGTTGTTGTTGTTGTTGACCGAGGTCTCTAGGATCTCCAGCCTGATGCGGAGGAAAATCCTGGACGAGGATCAAACCCACTCGTCTGATAAACAGCCTGAGCCGCCCGGGATCCCAGGTCCCTCGTTTGTTTGTAAAATTCTGAATTCCTCGACCTGTGGTTTTATACAGAAGCTGCTGGTGTTTACAGTCAGATACACGCACAGACCAGCACAGGTGGTCCCGGCTCCAGATCAGCTTAAACAGCTTACATGTGGCTTCTGGACAGAGGCGGGATGGGGCGGGGATGGGTGGGGGATCGGAAGAGGACAGAATAATGATAATAATTGCATTTCATATAGTGCCTTATTATTCGCCCACAAAATATACAGTCAATTCACTTTACAGTATATTCTGTGAAGCGCTCTGAGACGTCTCGAAGACGCGATCAGGCGCTGTATCAAATGCAAGGATTATATCACATCGTTAAGACTCTCAAAGCGCTTCACAGCATATACTGTCAAGTGGAGTAACTGTGTATTTTGTGGGTGAAATATGGCAGCGAATTGTGAACAGCAGTGTTCCCACAAACAGTTGTGGATTGAGTGACAAAATTATTATTATTATTTTATTTTTTTGAACGGATTATTATCCCCAGAAAGCAATTCTCCAACCGGGTTCCTATTTACCGCAAGGTATCAGGTGTGGGGGGGTAAGGAAACCCGCCTAAGATTTTGCCCGACCGGGAATCGAACCCGGGTCCTCTCGCTTGTGAGTCGAGGATGCAAACCATCGCACTGGGCTCCCAAGAAGGAGATGTACAAATACTGTCAATCCTTCGCTTTCTGTGCTCTGCCTTTTTTGTTTAATTACCAAATGCAATGTTTCCAATTCTTTCTGATTTTCTCACCCGCTCCGTGTGCCTCTCTGTGCCCGATCTGCCCTCCTCTTGCTGCGATGTGGTTCCATGCGTGCTGGTTACCGTCTGGTAATGCCACCACCCCCCTCTGCCTACCCCCTCCCCGCGCCCCCCCACCCCACTCCTATGACCATTGTTCATGTGTGAGGCTTTTGGTAGTGATTGTCAGCGGTGCCGCCTGACTGTACAGGGTG